TTTCGAGCCAACTATAAGGTAATGCCCATACTGCAAATCATACTCTGACATGTGGGTTGTGTAGTCTAAAGAAGAGAAGAGAAGAGGCTCTTTTTGCAAATTTTTTATATAAAAGAGGTTTACAAAGATGGAGAGAGATTTTTTGCCAGGGTATGTGATAGGACAAAAGGTAACAGTTTTAAAGTGAAAGAGGAGAGACTTCTTTTACATATAAGGGATAAGTGCTTTGCTGTGGGATAGTGAGACACTGGAAAAGGTTGCCCAGAGAAGCTGTGGATACCCTGTGCCTGGTAGTGTTCAAGACTGGCTGGATGGGGTTTGAAGTAACCTGGTCAGTGGGAAGTGTCCCTGCCTGAGGCAGAAGGAACCTTTAAATGTTCCTTCTGACTCTAATCATTCTAAAGTGCCAATTTATGAGTATTTACAATGCTCAACCACAGAACAATGTGTGTGCCTTGATTATTCACCATAACTACCCTTCTCTTTTACAGGCCGGTCTCTTTTACAGCAAAGCACCGGAGTACATACATATCAGGAAAAAAGTTTACCAAACTGGCGCTGCTGTGCCCATATGCTTTTCTGAACTGGGGTGCAAAGGCAGCATTTTCATTAACTAACAGGAATTCTGTCTACTAAGGGCTTATAGAGAGGGGTCTCTAGGATTTCAGTGCTTAACTGTAATTTGAAACTTTCAGTAAAATAAAATTACTTGCCAAAATTACGCCAGGAGTCAAGCTGGAGTGAAAGGCAGTAAAACCAAGCCATAGGCAGAATATACTACACTTTGGGAGCAATGCAATAATCACCTTGAATATTCAAGTGAGACCTTGAATCAATGAGTGAGAGCACTAGATGACATCAGAAAGAGAGAGTATCAGTAAATTTTTCTAGATTTAAGAAACAATTATGTAGATTCTTTGACCTGTCTGTGAGAAAGATTCCCCCCAAGCAGAACCTTGAGGGGGGTGGTGTCAGTCTGTCAGCCCCTCTTGCAGCTGCCCATCTCCTCACCCACCAGGAAGTGCCTCCCACCTCTTGCTCACAGTTAATCATAGAGGCAAGTTGTCCCAGCTTTTTCCTTGCAGATGGTCTAATTGCTGCCTCTTGAGCCATCAAGAAATTTCAGTGTTAAACTGATAACCTGGACACCTGCTAAGAGGGGTTTAGTTTTTAGTGGGTTTTTTCAGAGGTTGAGATAAGCCAGTGGCACACCGAAGAACATCGTGTAAACTGCTGCTGACAATAGTTTGACAGGTTCTGCAATGAAACCTCCAAGACCTCCAACTGAGTCTGTCCTGACTGCAAACCTGCTCCCAATTTTCTCAGAGTGGTTTTAACTAAACTTTTATGATCAACCAGAAGAAAAAAATTATGCAGGCAGACCTCAGTTGCCATCTTAATGAAGCTGGAGTTATTGATAAAAACATAGAATACTTGAAAGAGAAAAGGTGTTCTTAGACAACACCAGTAAAGTCTGTAAAAGCATTGAGAATACATGTGCTCCTCTGCTCCTCCCAGGCTTGTGCAGACAAAAATTTGATTTGCTTCCTGAAATGAAATATGCCGTTAAGTGTGTTGCTCAAGTGTGAGAGCTCTGTCACTTACATACCAGCCTTCATTTGGAATTACCAGGAATAATAACATTATTAATATTATTTTTTATATTTTTTTATTATTTCCAGTATGGTAGTGCCAAAGGACCTCCCTCATGGGCCAGATGCTGTAATGCAAGGTGTTGTGCAAGTGCAGAACAGAAAGAGCATGAAGAGCTCTTTGACACAAACAATACAAAGCAATAAGTAGATATTATGTCCCATCCCTGGAAGTATTCCAGGACAGGTTGGATGGACTTAGAGCAGCCTGGTCTAGTGGAAGGTGTCCCTGCCAGTCTTTGGGGTCCCTTCTAACACAAGTCTTTCTATGATTCTGTGATTAACAGAGGAACACCTGCATGGAAATTTATGAGAAGATGTTGGGTCAGTGAGATAGGGAGAAGCTATAATATAACCTTCACAGTGAGATATCACTCTGCTTCAGAGGAGGTGATGAACACCCACTTCTTCCTTGAGCTGGAAGGCGCTGGGGACATCATATTCATGCCAGCCAGTCTCTGGATGGCCAATGTGCCAGAGACAGCCAAATCCGGCACTCCAGATGGTGACAGGGGTCTGGCACCAGCTGAGGAGGCACACCCAAATTGTGGTGGTGCTTCCCAGGATGCTACATGCTCTCCCCAGGCATGATGCTTAGGCAGACTATTTTAGCTTCATGCATTGAAACCAAATAAAAAGATAGAAGCTGGCCAAGACCTTTAATGTTCGGTAGCCATCAAATGGCAACCAAGAAAAATATAACAAGGCCAAAGGGGTGTCCCCATGGTAGCACCCTCTTGTCATGGCAGTGCTGAGGAGCCTCCACTTCCCAAAGCCTTGCACTCACAGAAGTGCTGCCTCTGCCCTCCCTTCCCACACAGGGGAATGGATGCAGCAAGGCAATCCTCGTCTCCCTGATCTTGGAGCACAAGTGCATGCTCCCAGTGAGTGACATCTCTCACAGCCTGTTCCCAGCCACTGTGAACACATTCATTTATTATTCAGTTTAAATTGCAGATGCTATTCTTAGCGCTGTGGTGCTCCTCAGGGACCCAGCTGAGGTCAGAGCTTGCCCTGTTCAAATGCAAAGTGTTTTTGACCTAATTAAACAATATGCAAAAATTGGAAGGGAAAGCAGAGACAGAACTGAGGTGAGCTTTCTTAAAACAGATCAGGGCTAGGAGCCTCAGTTCTCTGTCTCCCACCTCTGCTCCATCACCTGCCTTTGGGAAGCTCAGGCATTTCTCCTTAGAGCTGTGACGTCTCTTCCAAATGTCAACATTCCACTACTACACCAGGTAGCAGTGTCCCACCTAGGCTGTGGAACTTGGGCTGCTAAAACAAATCCCTCTGAGTTTTTGTTTGTGCCTAGGTCACAGCTCTGGTAACAGCCTTTTATGAACACAAACATGCAAGCTTCATGTCAGCTAGCTGTAACACTGGCACCACGGAGTGCTCTGTATGGGTTAACATCCTGCATCTTCAGCCAGCTCCGTGGGCAAGGGCTGCAGCCTGTGCCCTCCTCTCAGCCTCCCAGGCCATTCCAGCCCAGGTTATACCTGCCTGGAACCCTGCATTGGTGGCTGTGGCAAGGGTCACCATAACAGAACAACCAGCTTGAACAAGCATGATACATAACATAAATGTACTTGACGTCAAAATCAGAATGAAACCCACCCCGCTATTAGCAACATTTTCTAAATCTTCTTTCCCTCAGTGACTTCACAGTAGTATCAAGGGTGAGTTGGCTACATCCCCTCTACACTAAAGAAAATTTCCTAGGTAATCTTTTTTCCAGCTCCCTCCTGGTGTGGAGAAAGAAGGCAACCAGCTTCCACCCACACACTGGAATACTGCAGGCTGCTCTTGACCCTCCCAGTACTCGGCAGCCACCCTGCCTCAGCTACCACATGTGACACCATGTGACACTTTTCCTAAGAGCTGCCAGGGTGGACAGATGAAATGTCTGACAACCTAAATATTTCTGGGGATGTTCTGGCACCAGAAGGAATGGAGCAAGCTGGAGCTGGTCTTCTTTTCCAAAGGGAAAAAAAAACAGCAAACAAACAAATAAATAAACAAACAAACAAAAACCAACCAAAAAAATTACAACAGAAACCAAACCCTGCAGGAAAAGCCGAAAACGAGAAAATCTTACAGAAACACTAACCTCAGATCTTTAGAACATTTGTTCCCCCAAAACCATCTGATTATTTTAGATACAAAAAATTGTAATAATGAAAAAATACAGCCACAGATAAACTTTCACATGGCTAGGTATAAACTGATAGCAAAATATGGAGCCCTGGTAGTCTGAAATGCTGGCACACTGCAAGAGAATTTTATTCTGCTCTGCTTCTCAGAGTGAAGTGAAACTGGTAAAAGAGGCTGGCTGGGGATGGCTTGCTCTGTCTTTGCTGGCCTGGCCTACAGCTGCAGTCCAAAACAGAGCTGACAAGGTTCCCTCTCAGCTTGCTCAAGCTGCGGTGCAGGGATGCATCCTGAAGGAATGCTGTGCAGATTCACAGCAGTGTGAAAGTGAAGGGTGGGCTTTGTTTACATGCCAGGTAACACAGAAAGTGAGCAGTGACACTCCTCTCTAACAGGGGAGTGCAGTGAAGCACATGAAGCACTGCCTGTGCAGCTCCTGGCCAAGCCTGAGCCACCAGGTGGAAAGATGGAAAAAGGGAAACCACAACTGCAGCGTGGTGCGGGGATGCCTTTCCCCCAGCTCACTTGGACATCAAAAGCATCCTAGCCAGGGTGGCACCCAGGTCCCTGCCTGGCTGGAAGAATGCTCAGAGAAATCCCCAGGGCAGGTGAACAGCCAGGCAGCCACACAGTATTGACCTCCTCTGCCAGGGCTGAAACCCCCAGGTTAGAGCTGGGGTTCAGTGACATCTGCATGGTGAAGCAAGGCTTGGAGCTCAGGCACAGCTCTGCTCGTGCTGGCCCTCACCTTGAGTTAATCACACTGAATGGTCCTGCACAGCATCAGTGCTTGGACCAGCTCAGGTTAGTCCTTGCCTGTGCTGGGCCAGGGATCAAAGCAAGGGGAATGTTTTCACAAGTCTTTTATCTACAGAATTACTTTTCTTCTGGGCACCCTGTATAGGGATACCACAGCTGCAACATTCAGGAGAGGAGGGCATCCATAACTCCCAGGTCTTTTTAAAATCACTTGCCTGACTCTTTCTATTCTTACTCATCTTTCTGCAATGGAGGAATCATAATAGTTTGCAACCATAAAAAGTTGCAAAGAGTTTCTGTGCTTTCATGGTCTCCAAACAGAAACGAAATTCCATGCCCAAACATAATATTTATTTTATTATCTTCTACCAAAGTAGAAGTTTGCCATCCTGGATGTACTGAAATTAGTGAGGTTTTTTTCTCTCTCTGTTAATACAGATCACTCTGTACTCTGAAAGATTTGAAGAATTTCAGAAAACCTTGGCCAAAAGCAATGAAGTGTTTGCCACATTCAAACAGGAGATGGAAAAAGTGAGTAGGAGCTCATGCCTGAACTCTGTAATTGATACGTTCCTTTTAGATTTTGATATTTCTCACTCTAATAATTCTACCTGAGATGGGACCACCTCTGCACATTTTGAAGAATAATTTCATCAACATTCAAGTAAGATTTAGGACACACTCAGCCACAACTGACAGCAGGTTGGATTTCAGCTTTGCAAGCTGAACAGCAGAAAGGAGAGTAGAAAGTTCTCCATTTCAGCTAAAACTGAAAGTGCCTGGAAGAACAAATATTTTACTTAAAATATATTGTGGTGGTTAGGTACAGATCCCTGAAACATCCCAGAGGGGGAGTCTGGAGCCACATTTATCACCCATGTTCCCAGAAGTGCCCAGAACCTTCTGGGTGACTGACACTGGTACAGAGAGTTTGACATAGGCTACATACCTTTTACTAGAGTGTGTAGGCAGAGCTGAAGCCCACCAACCCCTTTACACCATATGGAAACCATCCAAGAGACTGTTTCCTTGCAGCTGGGGTTCTTATTTCCTGTAATGAATGGGAGTTAAAAACCAAACACATCTACATTTTGTACATACTTGTAATAAACAATGTTCTGCTCTGCCACCAAGGCTCAAAATCCTCATGCCCTGATCCAGGCAGCACCTAATAATTCTTCACAGAGAGTCCTGTCTGTAGAAAATCATCAGGAAAAATGGGGCTATTTAGCTAGTGGTGTGTTCTGGAGGTAGTATAGAGGGGTGAGTCATCCAGGGGGAATTTCCCTGGCCTTGAGGGCTCAGAAGAGCCCCTCTTTAACTTCCCAGCAAGCAGTGTAACACTGTAGTCTGGTAAAGAGACAAACGAATCCACCAAATTCTTTGCCTTTTGTTTTTGTGGTAGTTTGTATGCTGGAAATTGTCTATAATCAACTGGTCCTACTGTTGGGATTACAGACTAGAGGCTGAAAGTGATATAGCAGCTACTTCAAATGAAATCCATCCCTTAACATAAATTATTACTTAGCACAGACACTACAGCTGCTGGTAGCAGAGCTCTGAGCAGGACCAGAGACTTGAATAAAGGGGCTGCCCTAATTTCATCTTTAGCCTGGAATTTCTGTTGAGATGCAGCTTTTCTTCCTGATTCTGTAGATGACAAAGAAAATGAAGAAGTTAGAAAAGGATACTGCTACATGGAAATCCAGGTTTGAGAACTGTAACAGAGCATTACTGGACATGATTGAAGAGGTGAGCAGTCTTTCCCATCTCAACTTGCATCCTTTTCCCCACGTAAAACTTTAACTAGGAGATGAGATAATCCCAGAAATCAGTGAAAAAATTCTTCTTGAATCTAAGGGTCTTTCTTTCAAACTACATTGATAATTGGATGTCTTTAGAGAAGACATCCCAGAAGACAATCCCAGCTGGTAGTGCTTTTAGATTGTGCAGGCATCCACTACATCCATGAGAAACTGAATTATGTAACTCTGAATTTTAAGTGCTCTAAAAATGGGTGATTCTCAATGCTCTCCCATACAAGCAAATTGGCATTAGTTCACTTCATGCTACTTTCTGCATAAGAGCATCCACCCGGGGAATTAATGTGTTCTAGCTAATGAACTTTAAAATCATGCCTTTCATTAACTTCCTGTGTAGTCAGACTCTAAGAGTCAAAAGCAAGTACTGAGTCTCTCCATACTTTTAAATGTGCTGTCCCAGGGGCATTGCAAAGGAAGTTCATAAGCACATTGGAACTCATTCAAAGAAGATAAGAGGCTGCCTGAAGTTTCACCCCAAACATAAGCTGAACCGGGACCAGATCTTTCTGGTTAGCTTTGTAGCTCTGTGCTATTGCTATTTCTATTTTTATGGATTTCTGTATCTCTTGTTTCCTCACTGGGTGTAGAAAATGTTCCAATTCAGGATGCTCTTACAGAGCCCAGAAGCAAGATAAACAAAGAAAAAAAAAATGCAGCTCATTTGCTTCCAAATTCACACCCACACCAACCAAAAGTCTAAGCAGGCTTTGGGTTGCTTGTCTGCATGGACATCCACTATGCTTTACCATTTCTCCAGAGCATCAGCAGGTACTCCTGCAAATATATTTGAGTGAAATTGATCAGAATATGTATCCAGAATGTTAATACATTGTAGTTACAGGGATGAATTTCCTCTTAAATATTTGGTCCAAAACACCATAGTTATTGAAGAGCAGGTGGTGAAAGCCAGCCACCTGGCAGCATCCTCTGAAGGCTGCTCAAATCATTTCCTAATTGCCAGTTCCACTAATGAATTGTATGCACCCAAACTGAGCCTGTACCTTTGCCTGATGTCTTTGACTACAGAAAGCCATGAGGTCCAAGGAATATGAGTGCTTTGTGCTGAAAATCCAGAGACTAGAGAACCTCTGCCGTGCTCTGCAGGAAGAGAGAAATGAATTGTACAAAAAAATAAAGCAAGCACAGTTCCCAGAAGAGGTGAATGGAAACGGCATCTTAGAAGAAGAAGAAGAAGAAGAAGATGATGAAGAAGGTGATACTAAAACAACGCCTTCCCCCTCTGAGCAGGAGAGCATTGAGCTGCATGAGAGTGACAAGAGGATGCTGAAGCAGCTGACTGAAGCTTTCAGGGTGTCCCACAGGGCAGAGGAGTCCCTCCCAAGCAACAGCAGCAATCCAGAGCCCTGTGACACTCAAACATGTAATGCCATCCTGGTGCCAGAACCTCCTGCTCCTCTCACTCTACATTCAGAGGCTGGGAAAACCTGTGAGCAGCCCAGCACGAGCACAGCAGCACCCACTGAAAGTATGACAGTGCCCACTGAGAACGGGTCAAAGCCCACCAAAAGCACGCCCTCACTTCCAGACAGGGTGCCAACACCCACAGAAAGTGTGCCAGTGCCTCCTGAGAGTGTGCTTGTCCCCACTGGGAACATGCCAATGCCCACTGAAAGCATGCCAGCAACCCCTGAAAACGTGCCAACCCGCACACAAAGCACACCCATCTCCCTTGGGAATATACCAGTACCCATTCAGGGCCCACCAAAAGATGCAGAATGTGTGGATGGCCCAGCAGATAGATCTGTCCAGGGGCAGTCTGAGAAGCAAACAGGGGACACAGACATGGAAGCAGTGGATTGAAGACACCATGTGCCCAGGCTTGTCTTCTGCAAACCAGAGCTCTGCTTTGTCCTCTAAATGGATACCTTTTTTTTTTTTTTAAGAAACAAAAATTGTTTCCTAAAACACACTCATGTATTTGTATGCAAATGTAACGCACTTCTCTTTGCTACCACTATCCAGTAATAATGGGTCTGCAAATTTTGCAGTCCTTCATCTGCTTGAAGTATAATACTTTCTTAATGACATGGAAATACAATGAAATCACAGGATCTCTTTTTCCCAGGCATGATGAGTCATCTCATTCAGGAAAATAATTTTAGTGTTGCACTTCCATGTTTCAAAAAATGATGCAATTCTCATGCATATATTTAAAGACTCATAATTAATTCTATCTATTTATTTTGATATTGCATAAAAGGTGGCCTACTTGGACACACTATGATTTTAATAAATTAGGTGAAAGGAATCTCTAATTACAAAGTAAAATACTGAAACTATAAATGTGGTCAGCCATATCCAAGGAGTGGTGCAACAGCCAGAGGTAAATTTTTGGGCAAGGAAATCGCCACTCAGCACTGTAACCTAAACACCCACAAGCTTTCAGCCTTAACTTCCATTGATCTTTTCTGCTCAGTCTCCTAGAATAGGTTTTGTTTTCAACAGAACTACAGGGAAAGGGAAAAGATCTTTTCTAGATTCACATAAAATAATTGAAAACAGCAATTTCCAAACTGATGGCAATTTCCAAGGTAGGGGGTCACAATTCTCTTTCTACATCCAACAGAAAACTGCTACATTATCATACTACTTGGAATCACAAGGATTATGCCTGTTTCCAGCACACAGACGAGGTGAGAAGATGAGAAGCAGGTTGCAGATCCCAGTTTCTAGGCAAGGAGCAGAAAGCAGAGTGGAAGGTACCAGGATGTATTCCAGAAGAATACAGATGAATAATCCTGAGATCATGCTTCTGGATGGTGCTGTCACTCCCAGTTACAGCCACATGAACCACAGCTTCCTCCTGGCACTGCTGCATGGGCCAATGCTCCCAGGAGAAGGATGAGGACTCACCTGTCACCCCATTCTGGAAGCAGAGCACAAGTCAATAAGCCAGAAGCAAAGAGGAACCAGGAAAGCAGGAATTCCTCTCACAGACACCTCCAGGGGCTGGCTACATCCCCGTCCCTTTCTTGTCTAACCGGCTCTTCCCACCTGCCTGCCAACAGCTGCTGCTTAACAATGCAGCCACCTTGTCTGAAACTGGTTTGTTCTGGTGCCAAGAAGAGCCGTGAAGGAAGGAGCCAAGGGAGGATACCTACCCAGACAGCTCTACACTCTCAAGCAAGGAGACTAAGTAGGCTTTTCAGAAGGTTGAAATGTCCCCCCAGGAATGTCCCCCAGGATTATTTTAACCTTCTTTAAGCCTAAGTAGGCTTAAAGATGGTTAAAATAATCCTGGGGGACATTCCTTGCTTCTCATCTCTTTCCTCTGAATTCCACCCAGGTCCTTCAGAATCTTAGCTGGACAGCTTAAGAATTTGAAAAGGGCAATTAAGCAAGATGTTTAGAGGTTGGAAAGGGAAATCTTACAACCAAAGAAACCCATGTTTATAGAAAAATCCCGAGAAGACCCCAAAGACAAAGCGACTTGTTCAAGCCAAAGTTGAAGTCCAGGTGAACCAAGAGGAAAGATGTCACTTTTGACACACTGTGGGAAACAGAGTCCTTCCAGCATGCCACCCTCCAAAAATGGGGTTTGAATCTCTGCTTACTGCCAACATGGCCCATACCCTGGTTAAATATGTCTGTGAACTGCTTGGTTACAGAGCTGACCCTGGGAGTTTACAGAGCATAAACTGCAAATGTGTCTTTGGATATGGCCTGTAGTTATCATGACTATGCCTTATGTTAGATAACAAGACCTACAGGATTTATCTCATGTCTTTAATCATGTGAAAGTAGATAATTTGAGTCTTAGTTATCTTAAGCTCCTTTTATAAACAGTGGAGAAGGAAAAGCATCTTTTGAGGACAAGTTATCCCATTATAAGACTGGCATCCAAGTCAGAAGGAATTACTTTCTCTCTGAAGATGATCTTTCTCTTCAGATGCTAGAGCCAGCCTAAGACAACTAATTTAAATTTAATACGTCTATTGTTAGGTATCTAAATTAGGCAACATGAATTCCATCAAATATTCAGATTCAAAGCCCTAAGCGAATGGCCATCTCTGAAAACCAAGCCAGTTATGTGCCTGTGAAAACATTAATGTATAACAAATCTGTATCCTAAGACAAACAGTTATACTCACCTGATACACTTATTTTTAGTTTCCATTGACTTAAGTTGGTAGAAGTATAGTTTCTGTTACAAGTTTTGTTTGTTATCAGGGTGACTTTTACAATTAATGCAATTTAGATACTTGTTAATGTGTTGGGGGTTTTAATTCTTGATCTTGTTTGATTCTGTTGCCATTTTAGTAACCACCTGCATGAAACAAACTCCTTTTTCTTTAAAGATGCCCTTATTTTTCTTCAAATAGCCTTCAGTTGTTGATGTTTTCTTATACATTCAAATATTTATGCAATAATAATGGCCTTACAACTTTAGGTTGGTTCCATTTTACATAATCATTATGGTCACATCTTTAATTATGTAATTCATGTCTCATACCTTCCAGCTTCAGCAAGCAGGGAGACAAGGATCCTGCAGATAAAAACTTCCTACATAGTTATGATTTATTCTTACAGCATCATTCCTCATGAATAAATACACAGCCTTCTGGGAAAATTACTCCCACTCTCTTCCACCTTCCTCATTTTTGCCCTTGAAATTCTAACACTGCAAAATTCTAACATTCAAATACTTGCAGCTCCTATTACTATGAGTTTCTCTCACATACCTGTTGCTTCTCTTCTTTTCTCATGTACCAACTGTATTTTATCCCAGCAGTTTCCTCCTCATTTTCAGTATGTATGCACACATACAATACTGAAAGCACAGAAGAGTGACCTCCATAGCTTTTAGTTTCAGGATTTGGCTTCATGTGTTTACAGGAGATGAGAATTGCAGGGGAAATTCTGCCTGATCCCAGGCTCCATAGAGTATTTAGTCAAACTATGGAGATGGTTTGTGTAATCTCATGGCCTGTAGAGCTGTGGAAAGCTGGAGTACCCTCACTAGAAGTGGAAAATCTGTAAAATTTAACCAAGCACGTCTTTATCATCCACTGCATCAGACCAGAAGATTAAATCACCATCACAGATTTCTGTGTGCTAACCTGGATTCTCTCACTCTTCTTCAACATTAATTCCTGGCCTCCCTTGCTCTTTTCTTCCACTGGTACCCAATATAAAACTGACTATGCACAGCATCCTAGTGAAAAGCCTTTGGGATGGCAGTCTGCCCAACAGCTCTGCTGCTCTTCCTCAGGTGCCTCTGCACTCAAGGCACAGAAACCCACACTTCTGTGGGTTTCACACTCATTTGGAGGCAGCAAGTGGCAGTGAGACCTGCCTCCCCAGTGTCCATTGTTATCATCATTATTCTAACCTGGCAGTGTCATCAGTCCTGGTGTGCTCTGTGGTTGCCTCCCTCAGTCTTGCTTTTATTTCACAGAGTTATTCCCTTATCTCCAGGCACAGATTTGGGGGTGAGGAGAGGTGGTGATGGCAGCTATTTCTTCCTTACTAAGAAGCAACAGCTTTTTTAAAATCAGCATCTGCTGACATTCATTTGGTTTCTGGAATTTCTGTTTTCTCAGGTTAGGTGGTCCAGGTGCCCTATGGCTGACACTGGAAAGCTTCAGCCTACACACTGCCAGCTAGTTCAGGTGCTGAAAAACAAAGTTGCAAGCTGAACACACCTCCAGTGTCACAGCCAATCCTACACAGAAAAGAACCTTAAGTCCCAAGTGTCAAGTGCTGCTAGTCATTATGCTATCTCTTCCTATGTGTTTCACACCAGTTTCCAGAGAAATAAAAATAAAATGCCATCTCTGGCAGAAATTTGAGTTACATCTTGTCCCCCATGCCCCCATTCAAGGCATCACTCCCACTCAGATGCTGCTCCCGCTGCCCTCACCAGCGTGCATGGCTGCATTCGAATTGGGTCACTCAAACAATTCAGGTTAAAAATACACCACCACAATCACCAAGAAGAGCTAATTTTAACTCAGATCATTGCAGTGATCTCACTGGGTTTTTGTTCTGATGGTATCTAGGGAAACATGACCTCAATTATGGTCACCATAATTGCTAATTGAACTCCACCCATCCTTTGCTCATAAAGGAATCCACACTTTTGGATGTTAACTCTGGAGGATCATGTTGTTCTCAGAGTTAATGGTAGCCTTTCCATTGACCATTTTAACAGACATCTCCAGGAGCAAATACAGAATTCGGAAAATTGCATTTTAAATCTCAGTCTGACCCCCACACAAAAGACAGGGAAGAACAATGTCCAATGCACATAGCTGCAGCCTTTGGAACTGTGTGTTACATCTTCTGCACACAAAGAAAGCTCTCACACTCCCATACAGACACCCTGGGTTCTCAAACAGGAGAACAGGTCAAGTGCCAGCAGCAGGGTGATCACTCAAACCTCAAGGATCATGTCTCGGGTCTCAGTTGCTGTGGTAGAGGCTAATTGGCAAAATGACTCAGCAATACGCATGCAGTGAGTTTCTCTTCTCTTCTCTTCTCTTCTCTTCTCTTCTCTTCTCTTCTCTTCTCTTCTCTTCTCTTCTCTTCTCTTCTCTTCTCTTCTCTTCTC